TCACCCTGATTTGGAATTATTTTACTTGGTAGAAAAGCAAGTACCACTCTTATTTGTATCCCGTTTTGTGAATTTATTATGTTCTGATTAGTTGTTGATTTAGCATAGTTGACATTAAATAAAATATTTAACAAAGACTCTTTGTTCATAAAGGAAAACACCCCTTATTTGAACTTAAATTTTATAAAAATATATGAAAACTCTGAACAAATGCCATTCCTTTTCTTTTGCAATGTATTGTTTGTATTCAGGGAGAAATTCTTGCTGTATTTCTTATCGTGTGGCTCTTGGACAGTAGTAAATGTTTTCTGAGGGCCAGGCACCATGCTAAAGCACTTTACGTGAATGATGTCACTTAATTATCAAAATAATTCTATGAGGCTATTACTATTACTACACATATTTTACAGACCAGGAAACTGAGGCTTAGAGATGTTGGAATCCCTGCCCTAGGTGATATAGCTGCGAATTGTCAGAGTATTTGAACCCTTACTCCAGCATCTGAGCCCTGAACCACTGCCTCTTTGGATGCTCATATTAACACAAAGGTAATGCAGAATCAGGTAAAGGTCCTGATGATTTGATTTGCAGGGAAAATAGTATGGAAATGGCCAGTCTTTCCCCCGTTGCGAGCATCTTGATAGTTGCAGTATTGCATTTAGCAAGAAGGCTCTGATTCAGGTGTCTGTTAGCACAAAGGTGAAGACAGGTCTTCATCATTAGGTATAAACTTATAAATAATGACTCGAAACTTTTGTACCAACCAATAAGAAATACTTTGTTTAAAACTGTCTCCAGTTTCGAATTTCCTACCACTGATGGTATTCATCTTCTAGTGGTTCTGTGGACACCATAAACTCAGGACAGCGATGCAAGACAGAACTTAGCTACTTTCTTCTTCCCTTCAGAGTCTACTCTCCTGTTTTCTTTTAAAAGGTCCCCTTGCCCTCCTACTCCCTAGGCTGCATACCCGGTATCCCCTCTGCCCTTTCCTGTCTCCTTAGATGCCAAATCCTGTTGGATGTTCTGCTCTTGGTGCTCCTCACTAGTTCTCATTTCTCTTGTTACCTCTATTTCACCTTCACTCCTGTATTTCGGGCTTTCAGTACCTCATCCACTGATCACAACATTTATCGAGTCTTTCTTCATGCCCAGTGACTCAAAGCTACAATTGCTCTCAGATGACCACATGACACCAAGAATCAGATGCCATTTGAAATGAAGTCCAATATGCTTTTCTAACCTACTGTAACAGATGTCTCCAATTAAGGAAGCTAGGCAGCCTCCGTCTGGGTATTTCCTAGCTCAGGTCTGTATTTGAAAATGGAGTCCAGTCCTGGCTGGTGTGGCTCAGTTGGTTGAGCATCATCCTGTGCACCAAAAGGTTGCCAGTTTGGTTGCCAGTTTGATTCCCGATCAGGGCACATGCCCAAGTTGCAGGCCCAGTCCCTGGTCAGAGTGCGTGTCAGGAGGCAGCTGATCGATGTTTCTCTCTCTCATCAATGTTTCCCTCTCTCTCCCCCTCTCCCTTCCTTTCTCTCTAAAAATGAGTAAAAACACATTTTGAAAATGGAATCCAGCAATTATATGCAATTGTTGACCTTCAGTTGTGCCTCACACGCAGAGCTGGGGCTGAGTCTGGTGGGACAACACCAGTTATGTCGGCACAGTGGGAGGGTGTGCTGACAGAGACAACTGGGGACCCTGTGGAGTGTGGAGGGCAGGCACCTGCCTGAGGCTGGGAGGGGGAGAGGAACGTTTCCATGAGGGCCTCTAAGGTTTGCTGGGTGGTTGTAAAGACCTGTCTGACTTTGTCCCTTCTAATGTTTCCCTTCTTTCCATCCTGCCAATCCCTGCCGGATCACATCATACCTCAAAATCTTTTAATTTTCTCATCAGTTTTTATTAATTTCTTGACCTGCCATTCAGTTCCCAGTCTGGTCCCACTCCAGTCTTCATTTCCAGAGCTGCTGCTCATTCATCACACACCCATACGTTCCTGGCACTCTGCCTTGGCTTACTCACTGACTTAGAAATTCCTCCTCTACTCCAGCCCCAGTGCCAGCCAGTGCCACTTGCTCAAAATCAGCCCATGATCCCAGAACCCAGATCAAGCATCATCTCCTCCAACAAGCCTACCTGCCACCTTCTCCCAATCAGAGGCCCCCTCCTCTTTTGTAATCACACGGTGTGTTGTTTTTTTAATTGCCCCATCAGTTTCTACTTTGTATTAAAATCATTTGAATACAAATAGGGCTGATACTCAGCTGCTAACCACCAAGAAGGCCACTCCAGTTGTGAAAATAATGGCATGTCTCTACGGGGGTGTGTAAACAGCTGCAGCCCAAGGCCTCTGATGCCCCCACCTCCTACGACCCCACCTAGTGAGTAGTAGTTTGAATATCATCTCTGGGCATATGTCATAGCTTTTTTTTTTTTTTCTATTGCTTAAGACTCTATCCACCTCACAGAAGTGTTGTGGGGATTACATGAGATGATGTACTCAAGAGTACTTAGCATAGTGCTTGGTATTAAAATAAATGTTTAACTAGCATTAGTGGTCCTTCTTGCCTGAGAGTGAAGATAGTATTTATTCCCATCTGTGTTGCCAGAGATCCAAGCAGAGGGCTTTGCACATAGGAAACAGTTAATCAGTTCTAGCTGAATGGATTTGTTCCATTTCTCAGGAAAACTTTTGTAAAGTTAAAATTTCTGTGGTATTATTGTGAAATACTTTAAAGAGGCAAGTTTTTTTTAACTCTGAGTAATTGGGTTTATTTTAAGTTGGCAAAAACCATCTATGATAAGAATTTTTAATTTAACAAATAAAGGAAAAAATCTCCTCCCCCCCCCCCAAATTTACTTCTAACTCAGTTCACTGTCATTGAACATTTTCATGTTTGATTTGGTTAATAATATATTAATATTAACATAATAACTGGTTAACTGTACAGACCTTACATTATTAAAACAGCTCTTCACAGTATACAGTTAAAATGAGATTTAGGAGGGAAGAAAGAAGAAAGGTGAGAAAGTTGTGATAGAATTTGTGGTAAAATTTTAGAGACAAAAAAATTTTAAGAATTATTTGCATTGTTTCCAACACTATTTGGTCAGCCTAAACTCCTGTATGCCCAAATAATTTACAGACTTCCTAGAATGTGACTTGAGTAAATGTTCTGCTTCATTACTGTATGAAAGAGTACAGTTTTCAGTGCAGCCTAGTACAGCCAGGGAGAACCTTAGTCAGGAATGATAGTTCATTATTATTTATCCAAAGCCCTTTCATCTTTATTAGGTTTGTCAGATCACCTTTGGACCAGACTTATTGGTGACATAGGGGGCCAAGAGAGTCGAAAACCTGATTTGGATTCTGGAAGAAACTTGTTTATTGTACTGAAGCTTCTCTTACTAAGTGGTGTAATTTCTTGTTGTAATGCGTCTTGCAAAAACAAACAAACCTTGCTGAAACCAGTTTGGCTCATTGGATGGAGCATCGGCCTGTGGACTGAAAGGTCCCAGGTTCGATTCCGGTCAAGGGCATGTACCTTGGTTGCGGGCACATCTCCAGTAGGAGATGTGCAGGAGGCAGCTGATCAATGTTTCTCTCTCATCGATGTTTCTGGCTCTCTATCTCTCTCCCTTCCTCTCTGTAAAAAACCAATAAAATATATTTAAAAAACAAACAAACCTGGCCCTGGCCTGTGTGGTTTAGTGATTAGAGAGTCATCCTGCACACTGAAGGGTCTCAGGTTCGATTCCTGGTCAAGGGCATGTACCTGGGTTGCAGGGTCAACCCCTGGTCTCTGTTGGGGAGTGTGCAGGAGGCAACCAATTGATGTCTCTCTCTTACATCGTTGATTCCCTCTCTCTCTCTTTCTTTCTCTCTCTCTCCTTCCCTCCCTCCCTCCCTCCCTCCCTCCCTCCCTCCCTTTTTCCCTTTCACTTTCTCTTAAAAAAAAAAAGTAAAAGTAATGGAAAAATATCCTCAGGTGAGGATTAAACAAAACAACAAAAAAAGAAGAATCTTCATTCTCAAAGCCCTTGTGTATGACTTTAACTCTTTAACTGAGGTTAGGTGGCCTGAGAAGGGTTAGTTTGAAACTGATATTTGGCTTTTATTAATCTAGAATACTATCTCACACTGAAAGTGATTTGGATCAATCCATTCAAAGGTATGGACAAATGTGGGGTTGAACCTTTCTCTGAGTTTACAAATTATATTTATAAAAGCAAATATAGTTTGGAAATAGACCCTATCTATCTAAATTTAATCTTAATGCTAGCATTTTGTGTGGAGAGCAGTAGGAAAGAAAAGGAAAATTTAGTTTAAAAATTTAACAGAACCCTCCAGTATTTTGGGGGGCTGGTAGAGGATAGATCATTTTTTTGCTTTCTCTCTTTTTTTAAAATATATATATTTTTATTGATTTCAGAGAGGAAGGAAGAGGGAGAGAGAGATTGAAACATCAATGATGAGAGAGAATCATTGATCAGCTTCCTCCTGCTCTCTCCCTACTGAGGATTGAGCCGGCAACCTGGGTGTGTGCCCCAACAGGGAATCAAACCATGACCTCCTGGTTCAGAGGTCGACGCTCAACCACTGAGCCATGCTGGCCAGGCTCATTTTCTCTTTTTTTGTCCCATCTTCTTTCATGACTTGTCCTCTTCCTCTCCAGGCTGAGCTTTCATTCTGGGTCTCTTCCCGGCATATCCCTTTCCTCAATCACATATATTCCCGTGGGCAAAACTGTGTCTATTAACCTATATCTTTGAAAGCTCTTCTCCCATCCTGATCTTCTAACTGTAACTACCTGGTAGATTTTTAATTTAAATGTATGTATCATTTTTCACGTTTAATATAGAGGGATGATTTAAGCATCTATGGATGGGTTTAAGCCCTCCTTTCTAAACTACTGGATGAAAAGAGCTGACATGTTGTGCCGTGTATTTGTAGGGTGTGGTGTCTCGCTGAAGAAGGTTTTACTTCAAAAGGAAAGATGCTGTCTCCAAATGATCAAAAGTTAGAGAAGCGGGATCCGTTTTATCGATCTTTAGTGGCCAAGCAGAAGACCAGCGCAGAAATCATAAGCGAAGCACGAAATGCATTAAGAACAGTTGGGACCCAAAGGCCATTCACGCCACAGGAAGACCAAAGAAAACTATTTGGACCTGCCTCTTCAAGGACACCAGAAAATAGACCCCCTTCCTGCTTCAGGTATATAACATTTCTCTTTCCTGTACATCCAGATATGTAAGCCACGAGACGACACGTTCCCTCTGACTTCTGCGAATTATACCAATTATATCTCTTGTATCTGTTCAGGGTTCTCAAAGATAATTTTAGGCCTTGGGTCCAAGAAGTTGGCTTGCAATGTTAATAGTGGCTGTCGTGTCTGTTTTATAAAGCAATATGAACTAAGCTTTTAAAAATCATCATCTGCATTTCTTTTCATTATTCAGTATTTTTAATTCTCCTCAACGCAATGAAAAGACTTATGAATAAAATGTTTTAAGTACTATGCTTTGTTAAAATATCTCAAGACTTTTGCATTGAATGCTTTAGTTTGGGGCTAGAGTTAACTAATATAAACTAGAAATAAAAGAAATGATTCTTCACAAACTAATATTTCTGTTCCATCTCCTGTGCTAGCCTCCATGCATCCAATTTTGAGTCATCTGATTCCAGGCCCATTTCCAGTGCACGTCTCAGCCCGCTAGAGCTTGTGAGTATTCCATATCACAAGAGCTGTCAAACGGAATTGGTCAAAAATATTGGTAGAGTATTAGTACATGGATCTAATGCACTAATAATTTAAAATGAAAACAAATTCTTTTATACTTTTTCAAATATAATGGTTAGTATCTAATAAAACATTTTTATTTATCTACAGTTTAATAATAAGAAATTTTAGAAATAGAGTAACCTGGTAAACCAAATGCTTCACAGTATTTTTTAATTCAAAAAACTTATGCAAATATATCATTTTATTTGTAATAGTTATATAAAAATAAAAACATGGACATAAAGAGTAGAGTCAAATATTTGCTACCAAAACAACTCCAGCAGTCTCCCGTCCCCTTCTTCATTCTCCCCTCCCCGGTGGCTCTCACTTTAAGCTCTTTTGGCACATTTTCTTGTTTTGTTTTGTTTTGTTTTTCATCCAAATTTCTAAATAGCACAGGGTCTTGCTGCTCTCTGACTTAGGAGCTCGAGAAATTATCTAATAATTTCCCATTAAGGAAGATGAAGTCTTAACTCTTGTCTATCCTCCCACACCTCCCCACAACACATTCACCCTTTCTGTCCCCACTGCTACTCCCAGTGTAGATATAGCATAATTTTGGCTAGAGCCCTTTCCTCTGATTATATTAACCCTGTTTACAGAGGAGCCTTGAACTAGGAATGATTGATGATCATTTCTTCTTCCCTGCACCCCTGGGATTAATAATTGCCTTGCTTTTTTTTTTTTTTTTTTTTTTAGTTTTGTATTATTACTATTTCAACCCCAAACTCTTCCCCAGTGCTTTAAATCTCCTTCATATATTCAGGCACATTAGGTATTCTGTTGATTCATCTCCTTGGAGAATTTTCCACCCTCCGTCCTGGACCACTTGCCCTGGGCATTTGGAGCACAGCTGGCTTCTCCCTCTTAAGCTGGAGGTCCTGTTTCCTGTATCCCAAGTCATCCTCTTTCTTGATTCACTGTCGATTTGGTGGAGCACTCCCTCCAATAACTTCCTGAGAAGGGGTGTATGGGAAGGGAATTATTTGAGACCTCAGTTGCTGGGGTTTTTTTTTCTCTCTCTCTCTGGAAGTATGTAGGATTTCTCTTTGTTCCCAGTGTTCTGAAATTTTATGATAATGGGCCTTTGCTTTAGTCCATTTTTATCCATCCTGCTGGGCACTTCAATGAGGAATCAGCTCTGGGAAATGCCCTTGAACTATTTTGATATGTCTTCCCCTCTTTTATGTTCTGTTTACTCTTTCTGGAATTCATTGTTTGGATGTGGGATCCTCTGGATTGGCACTTTAATTTTCTTATTTCCTCTTTTCTGTTTCTCATCTTTTTTTAGAAAAGATGTTATCTTCTAGTCATTTTATTGAGTTCTTTTCATTTCTGCTATCATATTTTTAATTTTCCAAAAGCTTCCCCCCCCCTTTAAATTATCATTTAAAAAATACATAGCGTTCAGTTCTTGTTTCATAGTTGTAGCTTCTCAACTGCATGTATTAATGATAGTTTTGATTTTTCAGTTGTTTTCTTCTCCCTTTAAAATTTCTGTTGCGTGTGTGTGTGTGTGTGTGTGTGTGTGTGTGTGTGCGGCTTAAACAACAGAAATTTATTTTCTCACAGTTCTGAAGATTAGAAGTCTGATGTCAAGGTGGCAGCTGCGTCGGTTACTTCTAAGGACTTTTTACTGACTTGTGAATGGCCGTCTTTCCCCCCATGTCTTCACATGGTCTTTTCTCTGTGTCTTGATGCATTTTCTGTTTGTTTGGGTTTGTTTTTCATATGAGAGCTCTCCTCAGATAGCTCCTGCTGCTTGCTTGCTGCCCTTATTTGAGAGTGGAAGCATGTAGAATGGGTTGGTCAACACATAGGTTATACCTACCCACACCCACATTTATTATTTTTAAAATATATTTTTATTGATTTCAGAGAGAGGAAGGGAGAGGGAGAGATAGAAACATAAATGATGGAGAGAATCATTGATCAGCTGCCTCCTGCACGCCCCACATTGGGGATCTATCCTGCAACCCAGGCATGTGCCCTGACTGGGAATCAAACCGTGACCTCTTGGTTCATAGATCGACACTCAACCACTGAGCCACACCGGCTAGGCCCCACACCTACATTTACAGGAGAGGGATCTGGCTGGGCTGTGTTGTTTATGAAACTCCCAATGGCAGTATCTTTAGCGCTTTCCTTGAGGGCTAGTTAATTTTCTGTAGAAGTGTCTTCTAGGCTCTTGCCTGGAGGACAAAGGTTGGTTCTAACTTCCAGGAATCAGGTAGAAGAAGAAGGTAGGAATGCCTGACATTCAGTGTTTAAATGTTCCATTAATATCTATGCTTACACAAAGTACCCTGGCCATCAACTGTGCCCGAGTAGCCTGATTCAGAGCTGCTGTTTTACCGTCTTGAGAGAACAAACCTTCCATCTACTCCTGGGCTGTAGCCTGATTATGTAGAGCTGGGAAAGAGTTGCACAGACCTGCAGCCACTCCTTCTGATTTTAGGTACCCCTCCCTCTGCCCCTGCTACTGCAAGTACCAGCGACACCAACTCCTCAGACTTTTATGGAATTGGAGTGTCACTCAAGCTGCTTCTCAGTTTTTGTCACTGTATATGTGTGTGCATGTGTGTGTTTGTTTTTGGTGGACTGTTTGAAAGTAAGTTTCAGACATTGTAAGACTTTACCCATAAAAATTTGTGTGCATCTCTTATGAACAAGGATAGTCTCCTATATAACCACAGTGCTATCATTGCGTCTCAGAAAATTAACATTACTCAGTAATATAATTTAATGTATAGTCCATGTCCAAATTACCAATTGTCTCAAAATGTATCACATAATCTTAAAGTACTCATCAAAATGCCTTTGTGAAGAAGATTATATTTGTTCTTATATTGCAGATGATGAAAGTAAGATTCCAAAATAGTATGTGTGAACCGATATGCAATAAATATTTTGCCAGTTACTATTGACATATGGCTTCTTGCACCTACAACCTTGGGTACTACTGGGTTTTGAGCCAACTACAGTAAGAGGACCTCACCTGGGCAGTCCAATGGGTCCACCTGGTTGTAGAATGGCTCTCTATTCTATAATTCTGTCATTTGACTCCTATTAATCGTTTTTAATATTGCTGTAGTTTTTTAGGATTCACTCCATCCCTTCCCCCACTCTTTCATAAAAATTTGTATTTCTAGACTAAACCTGGTCCTTGTCAAACTGGTACCATTCTGAGACTGTGGGGTTGGGTGTCAGACAGAGATAATGTTGGCATTGCCTCTGTTTAGGGTCATTGAAGTTAAATTTCTTTCCTGTAGAATGGTCGGGTGCTAGGTGCAAAGTGAAAATGGGCTAAGAAATCTCCATGTTAAGTTACGTAACTCCTTTAGTTTGAAATGATTTTGTTAATAGTGGATTATGTAAGGGTCTTAAGTATAATTCATTTTAAACAATAAAGTTTGGAGCTCCCAGTCGAGAAACTCTGAAAATGGGGCCTCATACTACCTGCCCTTTGACAAAGGGAGGAATAAGGGGAAATAAGAGTGGGAGGATGGAGAGGGGATAGAGAAGACAGGATAAAGGAGGAAGGTGGGGGTAAGGTATCTAATAGTTAGAGGATAAACTTGCCCAAAGAATTTATAAAGTCCTAACCAACTGAATTTCACACTATTTGGATCTAGGACACTTTCTCAGGCTTGTTTAATAACTCCTCAACCAGCACTCAGACAGAAAAGAGGGATCCAGAGAGCAACTCTTTCCAGCGCCTACATTTAACACATCAGCTCAACTCTACACTTGCACACGTACCCTCCTTCTCTCTGTTTCTCCCCCTGTTTGTCTGTGGGCTGACTGCACTCCGAAATGACCTGGGCTTCAGAGAGTGATGGGAAAATGAATGCTCCTGGTCCTGGCCACTGAGGCCTTGGCTGGCTGGTCTGACCAGTGTTCCCATTAGCACGAGTGACCTTTTAAGACAGGGGAAAGCCTTGCAACGTAGTCTTCCCTTAACATTTACATGGACCTGCGCTGTAGGAATGCCTAGGCACACCTTTGTCCCTTCTTAGCAGCCCTCCACCTACCCCGACAGCTCTGAGACCAGGCTGCTGTGTGGTGGCAGCTATTCCTGGTTTCATTCTGCAGCTCTGGTTAGCTGGTATTCAGATTTATAGACGCAGGGGCAGCTGCTCTCATGCTTTGATTGTAGAAAGTAGGAAAAGGCATGGGACCATGTGAACAAATAGGGAATTGTGTCTTTCTTCACTATCACTGTCAAAACAGAATTCTCCTGGTGTCTCCCAACCTTACAAAGCCTTGTTATTTAAGTTCCAGGTATTTTTATTAAACTTTTTATTGACATACAGAAAAGACACAGATCCAAAGGTGCAGCTTGATAAATGTACACAAGCTCAGCACACTCGGTAAGCAGCACTCAAAGAAAACAGACCATTGCCAGCCTTTCAGACACCGCCTCCCCATGGTCACTGCTGTCCTCACTGCTCACAGCACATGTTAGTTCGAGCCATAATTGGTATATTTTACTAGAGGCCCAGTGCACAAATTCGTGCACGAGTGGGGTCCCTCAGCCTGGCCAGTGATCGGGGCCCATTGGGGCTGGCTGGCCGGGGGTTTGGGGGGAATGGGAGGTTGGCCAGCTCGGAGGAGGGGCCATGGGAGGTTGGCTGTGGGAGTGCACTGACCACCAGGGAGGAGCTTCTGTGTTGAGCGTCTGCCCCCCGGTGATCAGTGTGCGTCATAGCGACTGGTCGACGGGTTGTTCCGGTCGTTCGGTCTAATGGTCGCTTAGGCTTTTATATATATAGATAGGAACCAAACTCCAAGTATTTGGTGAGTAAAACAAAATGTAATATATTTTTAAAAGATGGGGACTAAGAAGCCCATACTTTGAGGTTAGAGGAGATTCAGGGTGAGAAAAAGCAGACTAAGACAAAACAATGTCTTTCACTGTGTCTGGAAGGAGTGGTAGCATTACCTCCGTGAGTCACCTGCTGGGAGAGACAGAAGAGCCCAGGGTACCTGCGAGAGGAAATCATGGTAATAGAAATCATGTCCGATTGGGAATTTTTAATATTTGCTTTCTAACTTCCAAGAGGGGTGTCTAACTTCCAAGAGGTGTGTGTGTGTGCGCGCGTGTGCTGCTGTTTTACAAATTAAATCATAGCAACTTTCTGGGGTGAAATGTCATAGACTCCCGTTCCCAGCCTTCATGTAGAACAGGGGACACCCCATGTTCCCAACTGGTGATCCCAAGGATCCAGGTCAGAAATCAGTCAAGGCCCAAGTGCTGGGAGGAGAGCCGAGCCAGCCAGATCCCTTAGATGTTCTAGGAATTTTGTCTTCTTTCGTTAGGTGGTTCTGTGAAAGTAGTCTCTCAGTCTTCAGCGGACTGGAGCAGTTTTATCCACCAGAAGAAATCTTAAATTCTGACTTTCCAGTGTCCCTGATTATACTCAAGTCCCTGGTTCATGTCATGACACACAACACGGGGGAGGAAGGTTCTCCAGTGAAGACTGAAACTTACTTGCAACCTTCTCTGAATTCTAAAATGCCACGAATTGTGTATGAAAACATTTTTACTGTTTAGCTCTATAAACACCATTTTGCTCTGCAGCATGGAAGACCATTTTGTAGAACCTGACATGATAGAAATTGATGGTTTCTTTAGTCGTTTTCCCTGACGAATTTAAAAATGCTTTACATGTATCAGTTTGTATTTTAAGTAGACCAGTGAGGTGTATGTTTAAATGAGATAAATGATTTAGTAAAGGTCAACAGTAAACTGGAAGTAATTTGTCATTATGCCAACACTGACTAGCGTTGTGCTAGGGAAATCCCACGTTCTATCAGGGAGCAGGGAAGGGGCTTTATCTTGCCATCAGAGGTAATTCAGCTATTGTCCTTTGGGTAAAACTTAGCTTTGCAAAAATATTTTTCCCTTTATAAGATCTTTTATTTAGTGTCCAAAATTTTTAGAACAGTTATGGCATTTGTAAAAAACAAAAACAAACATTTATTTATCTGCATTATTATTATTTGGCAGACTTCTTGGTCTTTGCTTTATATTCAAGGTACCTGCAGAGTACAGACGTTTTGAGATAAGAAAACTTCTTATCTACATTCAATATTGAGATTGTCCTAATGTATCTTATCTTCCATAATAATACCTAAAGCACTTAACTTTCCTATTTTATATGCTTTTAGCTTTTTTTGTTAGTCTTAGTTTCATGGCCTAAGTCACATTCTAATGAATATTTTGCAATACGTTAGGGAGAATAAAAAGTAAAGTGACTATTTATCAAACAAATATAGCAGAATTTATACAGACAAATGAGTGTTGTCTCCTTCAGAAAAGATGCCTCTGAATTCAGGATTTTTCTTCCGAGCAAGGTCGTGTCAGAAGAGTCTTGGCTTTGTGACTTAAAAGTAACTTGGAGCCAAATTCGGTAAATAATGAGTGAGTCACTCACATAGGGAAGGGAGCTAGCATGTCTGGAGCCTCCATAACAGGAATTGTCTATGTCAGTGTCCCTGCAAGAAGGGGACTGCTGTCTCCATTTGATAGCTGGGCAAGTACAGAGAAGTCAATGGCCAGCCCAAGTTCACACAGCTAGGGAGTGGATTCCACTCCAGATCAGTTTGATTCCAAAGTCATTTACTCTTCCTCTATACTATGCTAATTATTTTATTTACCAGTTTTCTAGCTGTGTTTAGAAGAATGTGTCTCTAAAGTCATAACTAATTTTTTATGTGGTTCATGAACTGATTTCAGGTGCAAATGAACAAATATTTTGAGTACACCTGAAACTAATATAAAATAATATTGAATGAAAAAAATATTGAATGTCAACTGTAATTGGAAAAGAAAAAAATTTTTGAAAAATGTCATCATTATTGAAATAAGTAACTCCTTGGAGGGAGAACTCTAGTATAGATGCCTTTGTTCTCTTAATGTATATAAGAAAAACATGTGTTTAAAATTATGTGTCATATATGATAGATGACTTCACCCATTTTTCCAAATTATCTGACTTGAAGTTCACACTGGATTTTTAAAATATTTATTGACAAACCTGTGGGATTGAGAGTCAGTCATTTCACATATTTATGTAAGTGACTTGAGGAACTTGAACTTGATTATTTTTGGTTAGAGACCCCAAAAGCACTACTGCCGTAAGATTGCTCTTTCACAGACAGGTAATTCTGCTAACGTTGGAGGGAGGGAGGACTGACCACCAGCAACACTGAAAGTGGGAGCTTAGGCTTCCATGAGGTTCTGGCCCTGGGTCAGAGGCCACTGCCAGCTGGAGCTTAGATCTGAGGATGCGCTGGGCAGCACAGTGCCTGGTGCTGGTATTTTTAAAAGTCTTTAAGGAATTGGAATTTGCCAGTAATGTTTCTTTTCTAAGGATATCAGCATAGAATTCTAGTGATATGGAAAAGAAGACATGTTTATGTCATAAGTCCAAGACAACTTCTTGCTCTTATGTTTTGTGACTTAAATTAGTTTCTAAAATTTTATATCATTGCCTGGCCAGTGTGGCTCAGTGGTTGAGCATCAACGTGTGAACCAGGAGGTCATGGTTCAATTCACACACCCAGTCAGACACAAGCCTGGGTTGCGGATTCGATCCCCAATAGGGGACCTGGAGGAGGCAGACAGTCAATGAGTCTCTCTCTCCCTCTCTTTTCCTCTCTCTGAAATAAGTAAAAATATATTTTAAAAAAAAATTTATATCATTAAAAAGTACTTTTGTGGAGTCCAAAATGTGTAATGGTCGTATTTATATTCCACATAGTTTTTGACACATATAGGTGCCCAATACATGTTTTCTGAACTGAGTTGAATACATAAATTTGCAACGTATGTTGAATATACTCTCCCAAATGTTTTAGTCTCTCATACAGATAGCTGGCTGCTAGCATGGATAAACTGTTGTTGTTTTTTAAAAACACTACGCAGGATGGTAGTGTAATCAATACAATATATTTGACAACGACAATGAACAAGAGTTATCTATATAACATATTGAGTAAGATGGCCCATGAGACGTGGAGCCCGGGGCGGGGACCAGCCAGGCAGAAAGCCCTGCCTGTGCTCAGTGGGAGGGGCAGGGCCAGCCCCAGGTGCCAGTCTGGTATGAGACACAGAAACTCACGCCAGTCGTTTAAACATTCTCTTTCCAGAAACCGAAAGCCCCGGCATCTCCCACCACAGAAGGGGACCCCGGCCTTTCCTTCCCGAAGCCCCCGGTGGACCCCGTGAAGATGCGAAGGATAAGCAGCGCCCGGGCGCGCTTGTTCCGGGCGGCCTCCCAGGGGGCCCTTCTGCCGGACCGGACGCTGCCTCCCGCCGAGCGTAAGGCCAACTGACCATCTTTACACCTGGGGGCGGGCATGTCTCTCGAATTTGCACACAAAAGCTATTTTTATATCGTATTTTCAAACCCCATGTGATTTTTTTTTTTACATTAACTAGGACTTAGTTAATATTATGCAAAAGCTGGGTAAGAAATATTGTTCACATATTTTTCTGGGTGTTCATAAAGAATACCTAAATATCATAGTTTTCAAAAAACTGTTACTTGGTAGAAAAGGATAGGAGGACAAGTATTTTCTAATGAACGGGTTTATCGAGATTGGATAAATGATTTTAAAAATTAGAGTTTAAGAAATTGTTCATTTCATTAGGCATTTTTAAGACTCATATAATGTCCACTGAGCTTGGGTCTTTGGCAGTACCCCTCCGATCCCATGGGAAAATAGAAGCAAAAGTTGAATGGGGCTTTTCCTGCTGTCGCAGAACTGCTGGCCGGTATCTAAATCTGGGCACAGAGGGGCATTCTAAGGCGTGGCCCCACCAGTTGGCATCATTCCCTGCTCAGGGCATGCTAAGAGTTTTCAAACCAAGGAACAGCGGTGGGGTGACAATCAATTTAGTGGACCACTCCAAGCATTAAAAAAAATGAAGTAGACCAGCATGTAACGGAAATGTCAGGGTGCACTGCAGACAATAGGGGGAATGAGTGCGGCTTCGAGAGACTTTTCCAGCCGCATACCTGTGTGTTCAGGGCCCTGTTGTAAATTTGCTATGTAGTACATTCATATTCAAGCATGTTATACATTTATTATTACTCTCTATGGTCAGAAAAGTCGGGAAACCACTTTGCCCGGGGCCGGTGGACTGGCCCTCCTTCAGTTTAAGGCGTGGTGGAGGGCTGGCAGCAGCCACACGGAGGAGGGACTGAGGATGGACGCCGAAGGCTGCGAGCCTCACTGAGGCGCCTCCTGGTTTCACATACAAGCCTTTCCTTGTCGTCAGCAACATCTAAACGCAGAGCTCATGGGAGAGTCCAGATGTATGACTTCTTGTGAAAAATCTAACGGTCCAGCCACTCCAGGCCCCCTTTCTGTGCAGCCCCCAAGAGAATGACTGGAGCTGGGTGTGCCCACCCTGTTAGCCCCGGATGTGATCTGCTGTTCCCCATGTCGCCCGGCCACTCAGCTCATGTTCCTGTCTGGTTCCTGGGGTCTCCAGAGATCCCTGACATAGCTGAAGAGGTGGCATCAAGGAGAGAAAAGACAGGCAGTGCAAGGTGTGTGTGTGTGTGTCACCCGGTGATGTGGAGTGCAGGAGAGTTGTCCCGCTATGGATGCGGGAGCTGAGGCCAAAGGCCACACAGGCCAGGCTGGGGGAATGGCCCGGCTCTAAGCTGCTTGCAGGGAAAAGCCAGGGCAGGGTCTAAGCAAGGGAGACACACCATCTGCCTTATGTTTCTCAGTGTCGGGGCACATTACAGTCACCTGAGCAACTTTCACAGGCTCCACACTGGGCCCTATAGCAGACCAGTTCATCAGAAGGGAGTGGTAGCTGCAGGAGCAAAGCCCTTGACAGGGTGAGAGGGATGGGATCAAAGTTGGGAGTGAAGGCAGACTCAGAGAGGAGCAGGGTCACTTCTTGTGACCAGGATGGCAGAGCTGGTGTAAGAGCTACTAAATGGCCGTTCGTTGGGTGGCTTTGAACGCGAATGCCGCAGCCACGTTTAACGCTTTTAACTCTTGGAAGCTCACCCTGAGAACCCTGCTGCTTACCGAGCCACTCACGGCTTTGTGAAGGTGCCTGAACAGGCGGATGTGTCACCCACCACCTCGTCTTCTGTGCTTCCCTCATGGCTTAGCTCCTCCCCTCCTGGGCCCCCTGGCTCTTGGCCACAGCACCCCAGTGCTGCTCTGGAAGGTGCCGTGGGCGGCAGGTACCCTGTCCCAGCACCGAGGCCATCTTTGCGCCTCCAAGCTGCCCCAAAGCATGTCTTTGCTGTGGTTCTCTTATCCACCCTGTTTGCAGCGGCCCCACCTCACCATTTCCACCATCCCCTGGGTCTGTGTCAGCACTCAGGAAGCTATGGCAGCTAGAAGGCGTTGTCCCTTTAAAAGCGCACATTGCCCCATCCACAAAAACGCTGTAGCGCTCTAGCCTTGCTGCCACTGTCATCCCAACAGCGGCTCCCTGGGCTGGTTTCAGTCTCTGTTGTGTAGAGAAGGGACCCTCTACTGGGTGATCGTAAATGGAACCGTGTTCACGGAGACGGAGTGGTGTCCCTCCCTTTGGTGTGAAGTCGTTTGCAGCTGACACTGCCACGGGCGGGGCTCGGGGTGTGGTGACAGGCTGGGAATTTCCAATTTACGGAAATGAAAGGTGAAGAGATGTGTGTGCCCGTCTTCTTGGGCCGGCCAGCAGTTTAATTGCTCTGTGTTCCAGGCATGGTTTTTGGCTGGAGAGGGCAGTGTTGCTGACAGCGCCCCGGTTATCCAAGCCGGACAGGGGACGTCAGTGCTGTCTGCACCCTCTCACCCAGTGGTTCTCAACCTGCCTAATGCCGCGACCCTTTAATACAGTTCCTCATGTTGTGGTGACCCCCAACCATAAAATTATTTTCATTGCTACTTCATAACTGTAATTTTGCTACTGTTATGAATCGTAATGTAAATATCTGATATGCAGGATGTATTTTCATTGTTACAAACTGAACATAATTAAAGCATAGTGATTAATCACAAAACAATATGTAATTATATATGTGTTTTCCGATGGTCTTAGGCAACCCCTGTGAAAGGGTTGTTTGACCCCAAAGGGGTCGCGACCCACAGGTTGAGAACCGCTGCTCTCACCCATCCCGGTCATCTTTGCCATCACCAGCCCCTCCTGGGCTTCCTAAATGGGCTTTCTAAATACTGCTTGGGTCTGCTCTCCTGTCCCACCTCCGCCTCACTGCCTTGATCACCTCGGGCCTTGTCCCTGGTCTTCGGCCTTCCTGTCTTGCTCCACCTCACCCTCTGCAGGGGCAGCAAGTGGGTCAACACAAGGTCGCTCGGCCCTTGGAGCAGCCAGCACAGCCTGGGGAAGCCAAGCTCCCACCCAGACATGGCTGTGGGCCGTCTCCCTTTATCTCACCGGACCACAAAAATCATGTTCTGTGTGTGCCATCAGGGATCAGAGGTCAGGAACAAACAAAAATCAGAGTGCGTCATCTTCTTGCTAAAAACCTTCAGAGGGCCCCCTGTGCCTAAAGGAGTGTTTGCCAAACTGAGTTCTAGGGAAATTCTAGCAAAATGTTAATAGCTTTTCCTTGGAAAAAGGGCTCAGTACTGAAATAGGTGCACTCATGTTCTCTCTCCCTCGGAGACTCGCAATACACACGGGCATGTTCAGAGGGTCGGTAAAGCCCATCTGGTAAAGAAAGCGTTTAATTTTCATTCCACCCAGCATTTCACAAGTCGGCTTGGCTATGGAATCTGTCTTTTGGGGAACACAGTTTGAGAAACACTGACCTAGCACAGACGTTGGCAAACTTTTCCTGTGAAGGGCCTAATAGTAAATATTTTAGACCTTGTAGGTCATACAGTCTGTACATCTGCTCAGCTCTGCCCTTAGGAAAAGCAACCATAGATTGATTTGTGGCCAGTGAAATTTGAATTTCATATAATAATCATGTTACAAAACATGTTTTTTTCTTTTGATTTTTACCCCCAACCATTTAAAAATATGAAAACCATTCTTAGCTTGCAGGCTCTACCACAGTGGGAGGTGGGCCAGTTTTGGGGGTAGTTTGCTGACTCCTGGCCTGGGGGATGAAGCCCCCACTCCTTGCATGTACAGCCCTGTTGTGATCTGGCCCCAGCCTTCTCTCAACCCTCCCTGGCCTAGCCCACCCCACAGTCTATGCACCAACAATGTGGAATTCCTTGCATTTCCCCACACCCACCCATCCTGTTGTTCCGAGCCTCATGCAGGACCTGCTGTATAATTTGTGGGACCTAGTGCAGTGATGGCGAACCTACGACACGCGTGTCAGAGGTAACACGCGAACTCATTTTTTTGGTTGATTTTTCTTTGTTAAATGGCATTTAAATATATAAAATAAATATCAAAAATATAAGTCTTTGTTTTACTATGGTTGCAGATATCAAAAAATTTCTATATGTGACACGGCACCAGAGTTAAGTTAGGGTTTTTCAAAATGAGAATGCGGAGCTCTTTGTTAAAAAATTACTCAGAATTTCAAGATGGCAACAGCAAACATTAAGCCAGTACGGGGCCCTTCTCAGCAGGGCCCTGCTCGACTATCCAGTTTGTACACACATGCGGCTGGCTGGGACCCGAAGCTCTTGTTCCTCCTTCTCAGAACTCCTTTTTGCCTCCTGTTAACCCTTCATAATACTTCGCAGGCTCCACCTCCTCTCTGAATCTTTCCCCGACCAACTCCCAACCTCTCAGGACTCCCCCATTCTCTCTGTCACCCTTACCTGGCTTGGACCACCGCACTTGTCTGTACGGCATTTCTCTCTTTACCCAGGTCTGCTTCTCTGTCTCCCCTACTAGACTGAGCAACTTCAGAGGTGAAGAGGTTTTCCTCTCATTGTAGCCAGAGAGACTAAAACAGGATCTGGTACACAGTAGGCGGTAGAAGTGTCTGTGAGCTGGAACCGCTCCTGCAGGGTGATGCCGGCCCATACGAAGTTAGTACAGCGGGCTGCAGAGATTGGCCAGGGAGACGCAGAGCATCGCCCCTCGTGCTCAGCTGAATGGCGGTGCTCCATCGGGAGCAGGAGTGAGCCTCAGGCAGCCTGCACTGTGGTGGTAGCGGCCAGCTCCCCCTAGTACAGCGGTTCTCAACCTGTGGGTCGCAACCCCTCTGGCGGTCGAATGACCCTTTCACAGCGGTCGCCTAAGACCATCCTGCATATCAGATATTTACATTACGATTCATAACAGTAGCAACATGACAGTTATGAAGTAGCAACGAAAATAATTTTATGCTTGGGTCACAACATGAGGAACTGTATTTAAAGGGCCAGAAGGTTGAGAACCACTGCCCTAGTAGATTGTGAAGATAAAGGGGCTGCAGCTCCTTCACCTCTCGGGCGGGTGGGTTTCCCCCTCCAGGACAGTAGCCCATGGCGGCTGGGACTTCTCGTTCACACTGGACCACCAGCACCTGGAGCAGCACCTGGCCCTCTGGCGTGGGTGCTGAATAAATATTCAAGGGGTGGATGGATGAAAGAAACAAGTGCTAAGATATAGGCACAGGCTAAAGATTCTTTGTGATCGAAACAGAATGTGTGCCTTGTAACTCAGTAGTAAAGACCGCTAAGGGAGCCGCACTGTGCAGAGAGCCCTGGGCCAGCAGCCAGGACTCTGGAGTTCCATGAATAGTAACGACACTGACGTCTAGGTTTTAGTGTGATAAGTCACTAGGTCATGTCATTTCATTCTCACCACGTCCCCAAGAGTGGGGACCACGGAGGAAGGTGAGGGAAAGGTTGAGTGGCCTGCTCGTCACACAGCCTGTGCTTGAGCCCACGTCTGATGAAATGCAAAGCCTGCTCTCTTCCCACTGTACGGTCCTGCTCTCCCTGAACTTCCCCTGTGACCTCACACTAGTCACTTAACCTTTGGGTTCTCCATTTTCTCATCTGAAAAATGAAGATGAGCCTAGCCAATCCCTCAGGTTTCCTTCGGCTTTACAATTCAGTGTGTGGACTCAAGGAGCTTGGTCGGAGGCGTAGACTAGGTGGTTTTGTTGTCGGTTTTCATTGGTTTGTTGGTTCAAGTGCAGAAAAGGAAACCTTGAGTTGCTTTGGAAAAGCTTGCAAAATAGTATTTTTCTATATGAAGCTCATTCCCCCTTCCGCTTTGAAAACATATTTTATCACAGACTGGAGTAGAGTAGAGCAGCATGGATAAGCTGTCCCTCATGTCAGTTGCTGATAAAGAAGCCGTGTTGTATTATAAGTGTCAGGCTCTGCAGTCATAAACAAGGCATGTGTTTCGGTTCAGAAGCTGACATCTTTTTGCAACTCTACCTTAGTCCCTTCAGAAAGCCTGGGAGGGCTTCAGTGCACCCCTCCGTTCATCACCTAGAAAGGATCTGCCAGCCTTCACGACCCAGCCCGGCCCCTCTGACCACCTCTCCTCCTCTTCTCCCCTCACACACTCCCTGCCTGCTGTTCCTTGAGCATGTCAGGCACAGTCCTGCCTTAGGGCCTCCGAATCTGCTTCCCCTCTGCTGGCAATCCTGTCCCTCAGCATCTGACGGGCAGGTGCCCCACCTCCTTCAAGGGTCCGTCTACCATGTCCACCCATTGCCAGTCCTGTTTACCCTTCTCCACTTTTCTACTTTTGCTTTTTTCCATAACACTTATCTTATATACCTTATTTATTATGGTGTATTACTTATTATCTGTTTATTCAGATGTCAGCCCTATGAGGTCAGGGATCTTTGTTAGGTCACTGATGCATCCTACGTGCCTAGGACAGTGCCTGGCATCAGGGGGCACTCAATATCTTTTTTTGAATCAGAAATTACTAACATGATTACTTGTAGGAATAGGATGGGATGCAGAGTATGTATGTGGACTTAGGTGGTTCATAAATCTAAATTTAAGCGTTTGCCTTAGGTAGACCCCAAGCTAATAGAAATAAGATCCTCTTCATTTTTAACTGCTGGATCGATGATGCCAAGCCTAAAATAGTGGTGAGGTCTTATATGGCCAGGGATGTTATATCCATACTTGATTATAAGTGACATGTAATTTTTGAATTGTGTACATTCTTAGATTTTAAAAAAATATGGAAAGATGGTGATTCCTAAAATAAGAAATGCTTTGACAAAACATCTCCTTGGTTATTACAGGAAAGAAGACAGTGGAATCCAAAGACACAGTTAAGATGGGGGACTCTCCGGTGAAAATCAATGGGATTTATTTAACAGAACCAAAGGCCGTTGGCCACTTAAAGAGTCACCCACTTCAGCTAACATATGATGGAGGCTTCAGAGAAATCAAGGAGCAAGAAATGTTCGAAGGGGCAACATCCTTGCCATCTCATCTGAGAAGCGGAGGGTCAGTGTTCTTTTTATTTGATTTTTCTGGTGAGGGCAGCAATGTCATTTACCAGTTTGTTTTCTAACTTATGTAGATGATTGGTTCACATTTTCTCTTTTATATAAAGCAAATCTTCAGTTAGCGGTACATGAGAAGGAAAGGTTTCTTCTCACAGCTGAATGGAGTTGATTTTACATCCCCCCCCCCCATTTAATCCTTAGGAGAACATTTGCTCATACTTGCCTAGATGCTGCTCTGATAGGACTGTCAGATTAAAGTCCTGGCTTCAGTTGGACCAGTGGTTCTCAACCTTCTGGCCCTTTAAATACAGTTCCTCATGTTGTGACCCAACCATAAAATTATTTTCGTTGCTACTTCATAACTGTAATGTTGCTACTGTTATGAATCGTAATGTAAATATCTGATATGCCGGATGGTCTTAGGCGACCCCTGTGAAAGGGTCGTTCGACCGCCAAAGGGGTCTCGATCCACAGGTTGAGAACCGCTGAGTTAGACTGTTCCAGCCCGCCCCTGAGGCCGGCTGGTCATTCTTTTTGTGTTATTTGGGATTCTTGCCTGACCTGGAATCTCTTGATCCCTCCCTTTGGGTTAGTTCACTATTGTTAGCTCCACAAAAGAGGAGACAGTTTATGTTCTTCTCCAGTAGAAACTTAGACGTTTTATTTTTCAAATTAATAGTTAAAGCAGGACAGTCCCGTGGATTTCTCTTTCTATGACATCCCTCTACTAATCCCTCATAAAATGAATGATTGGGAATTACTTTATGTCATACCATGTTCCTAGATAGGGCTTTTTTATTTTATTTTATCCTAATTCTCACTGATACCTTCATCCCTCCGTCCCCTCCCCCCTCCCTAATCTGGAGAGCCCTAAATTCATATTATGTTCTTGGATAGGGCTTTCCAGGGCTTTCCCCAGAAAAGTGAGGAGCAAATGTCCTATCATATTAAGGATTTGTGAAGAAATGTTCACTGCATGGACCACGTGGAGTCTTACCCTGGTGTTTTCTGACGGCAGCCTTGAATAACTGGGGGTCAGGGTGAGGGCAGGCTCTGTTTCCAGTCCCAGCCAGTACTGATCCTAAATAGGCAGAAGGTCTTGGACCGGACAGGGTCACTCAAAGATATTTTTCTATGACTTTCCATTGGGTCATTATGGACAACTGCCCAGTTCAAATTTGCCTACCAAGATTAAATTCCACGGCCCATTTCAAGACCAAGTACTTGTTGCCCTCACTTTAGATTTCAGGCCTGACTTTGATTTGTACACAGGTTACGTGCTCAAAACTCTTCCCCGAACTGGCTGCTTGGCAGCCGGTTGGTTTTGCCGAGCTGACCTTGTCTGCTGACACAGCCCGGGGAGTGTGGCACACGCGGGATTTATGTTAGGCAACCTCGTCGTCCTTGTAAGGTCGCTTTGCATTCAGAACATTTTTTTAAATGAAAGGGAAAACGAAATGTCTCCTTAAGTGGAAGAGAACAAACTTCACACTGGGGCTTTGGGAGTCGAGCACAAAACATGAAACTGGCCGTTGCCACAAATCTTTTGCTGTTGCTGAGTAAGAACAGGCTGCGGCCCAGAGCGTAAACACAAGGGCCGCAGGGAACCTGTGCTCCTTTCGGCCCTGAAGCAAGAAGGCCGCGGTGATCCTGCTGCGCCCAGCCTCACAGGAATCAAAGCTGACCAGGGAAAACCAGACAAGAGCTGTTTTATTTTATTTTATTTTTTATTTTTGCAAACCTTCAGATGTTGCAGAGTAGCCTGGCCAGCCAGAGTTTACCATGTCTTCCTCGGCCTGGGACAGCAAAGGCATTTTCAGTGACATAGTTTATTCCACTAAAGCAAAGAAGAAGTCAATTAGGGCCTGGACGCACTTCTTACCGACTGTCCAGAATGATGAGGCGCTGGCACCAATTGTTCATTGTTTTCCTTTTGTTAGCATGGCTTTGGCATCGTGTAATGACTGGGACAGAGCTGGGTTTGCAGTATACCCTGGCAAGTCTCACTGCCAATAACATTTTTGCTCTATGAATCTTTAGCTCCTTTAATCATTGGATGGGATTTTGTTGAGGTGCCAAAAAAAATTTTTTTATACAGTAGGATTTAAAACAAACCAGCAAATGGAAACTATTAGCAGTTCTTTCATTAATTACATTTGTGAATCAATCCGGGACACTTGATAATCATTTCTTGTAAACATTTAAGTGAATAATTCCAAGAAATGATCTTTGCTATGCAGTGGAGTGTTCCCAGTTTTGATGCTAAAGCCTTACCCTCAATTAACATTGTTTTCCTCTTTCGCCCATAAACTGTAAAGTGAAGAGTCCTGTCATGAGCGGGGCTACTGAGGAAGGGAGGGAAGGGAATGCGCAACCAGAACAGGAAGCGGCCTGGCACACATGCAGATGGGAAAGAGGACAGAGGAAGTGAGGACACGCTCCCCATGCAGGGTCCTGGGTGGGGGCAGCCGCCTCAGGCCGAGTGCTCGGGCTGAGGGGGCGGGGGGAGGGAAGGAGCTCTGTGCAGCCTTAATTTAGAATACAGACAGATAACTCAGTCATGGGATGGACTGGAGTTTAACTTCATGCTGGTTGTAATGGAAAAGGGTTTGCTCCGCAAGATATCATCGCAGACGAGATCCTGGGGAACTCGTTACCTTTCCGAAAGAGAACACACTCCCAAGGACTTCACGAACGATCCTATAACCGGTGTGCCGATCACAGCGGTCTCTGTGCGTCCCTTTAAGGATTCCTGTAAAGTTTGGCAGGCTTGCTCCTTAGCAACACTCCATTTTCTCTTACTTTGTGGGCTACAAGGATTAAAAACAGCTTTCATTGAAATATGTATGCAGGGGTGGGCAGAAGTAAGTTCATGCTGTTCGTATGGAAAACGACATACAGATTATGATGATTACAATAGCTTTATTTATTAACTGTTTCATGCACTCACAACTATAAACCTACTTTTGCCCTCCCCCTTTCTGTGTAAATATTGTTCAAAGTGTTGTGGTTTGGAAATTAATTTTTAGGAGGAAATTGATTTTTAGGAGGAAAGAACAGTTAATTGTAGAGTCAGAACTCTTCGTTGGGGCCAGAATCCCGGATTTGGTTATTCTCTCAGCCTCAGAAGTTAGCTGTGTGCTGTTTAGCATATCTCTCCACGCTTTTGGGAGCTCAGTTTTTAATCTGTAAAATGGAAATAACTGTGCTCCTTCACTCCCATCTCCTCCCAGCCCTCACCATGGGTTGAGGAACGATGAATAAGACTTGAAAGGCTTATATTTAAAGTACCACGTGCTGTTAGTATTATTGGAGTAAAAAAGAAGAAAAGAGGGCTCTCTGGTCAAAGATGGCAAAGCAGAGGCATTCTGCAGAAACCCAATCAAAGCAACAATGAATGAAAAACAGAGAAGTAAATGTCATCGATGAAACAACAACAACAACAAAAATGGTTCCACCCCAAACTACAAAACATGGAGCAAACTTCACACTGTGTTTGGGGCCCATCCCCTCCCCTTTGGAAAGTGAGCCGTCTTGCACTGGGTGTGAAATCCTGCTCAGTCTGTTGGGAGGAGGACCGTCCCTGTATTCCCTACCCCTCTCTCTAGAGGTGGTTAAGTGGTCAGAGCTGGCTAATCAGAACTCTCCAACCCACCAGCCATCACGGTTGGTTCAGAGGTGGGCACATAATCCCAGCCAGCCCAATGGAATTCTTCCCTCGGACTTTTGAGAAAAGTGCTTTTTCTCCAAGTTCACAAGCTATAAAGATGATGCTGTCTTGGAGCCAACTCATTGCTTTGTGCAGAGTGACTCTGAGAGGGAAGTGTTGTATAAACAAACAGAATGGAGATAGTGACCAAGTTCAAGGATGTTATATAAACCCCTAAATCCAGCTGTGCCTGAGGCCACCACATCCACACTGTGGACTGCTCTGTTTTGAGCCAATATGTTCCTTTCTCCCTCTCTCTCTCTCTCTCTCTCTCTCTCTCTCTCTCTCTCTCTCTCTCTCTCCCTTCTTTTGTTTCCCCTCCCTCTTCCTCTCCCTCCTCCTTACTTCCTTTCCTTTCCTTTTTGCCTTTTTTTCTTCTTTCTTCTTTCCTTTATTTATTTTGACAGGTACAGCTTGTGGTACTTTAGATGAGGTTTTTGTCACTTGGAATATTGCAACTAAAAGAGTCTACTTAACCTGCCAGACTCTGTGAAATATAGATGAAAACAAGAGGGAATTTGAGAGCAGACACCTCCTCAGACCTTGAAGAAACAGGTTTCACTAAAACTGAGTCTCTCAGTTCAGAAAGATGTAGCCAGGTGTCTTTCATTAGAGAAACGAGATCTGAGGATGTGGGCAGGCCACTGGAGAGGTGAGGGAGCCACTGTAAAGACCCCATTCAAGACATTCAAGATCCGGATCATGAAGCAAACGGGGGTGGGGTGGGGGTGGGGGATGAAGCTGAGGGTGACATGCTCGCCTCATTTCCTGTGAGCCAGCTAGTTTGGGGTGGGGGTGCAGTTTGATAGGTTAACACAGGGCTTTTCTGTGAGTCATAGCAACCTGCTACACATAACCAAGGGAACACACACTCAAAATCAAGAAAAGTAACAGACTTGGTAAACTAAAGCTGAAGGTGCAGCATACCCCAGTTCTCTCCTCTGTGGATCCTTTTCATTATGCAACAAATATAGGACTCTGTTTAAAGAAAATTAGTATTAGGACAAGAGTTAACATGGGACTTGATCATAGATATGTAAAGAACTTAAACACAGATGAAGAAAATGAATCGCAGAAAGAATTACTCTCCAAAAACAAAGAAAGCGTTAAAACAATTTTGCATAGCTTCCAAGAGATGATTGATAATGTTATCGGTCTCATTTTTAAAAATAATGGCGGGGGCGGGGGGGGGGAGCTCTGCTTTGTGGTGTGTGTTTTTTTAAATATATTTTTATTGATTTCAGAGAGGAAGGGGGAGAGAGAGAGAGAGAGAGAGAGAGAGAGAGAGA